CGCGACGGTAGTGACGTCATGGCTGTCGCCGGCCAAACAAGTTGGTGTTTTTTCAATGTAGGCTTCAGACACGGGTCACGACGAGGCGTCCCCCATAGCGACCCCTAGAGGACGCAGTTCGAAGTTCCACGAAAGGGAACATGTTGTTCACTATGTGTGTGTGTGTGTGTGTGTGTGTGTGTGCGTGTGTGTATACTGTCTGTATGTATCTGCTATAGCCTATAGTGTATTAATCAAGTTGTTTGTTTCTGGTGTCTATAGCTTGTAACATGTTCAGATGGGATTTTATAGTGTGTTGCAGTCTGTGGTTTTACTTTATTGCTGTGGATCTCCTTGCTATCAATGCTCTTTTGCTCTTCTTTTTTTTTGGATGATGATGACATTGAGTCATTTGCATATAGAACTCTGCTGCATATCCATCTGCAGCAGCCTATATTGTGCATCAGTCGTGCATCAGTCCTTCCCCTATATCCCAGAATCCTTTGCAACAAGTGATAAGACTTTTAGCCTGTCCAACGCACGTATTAAATTAACACATCTGCTCTTAATAGTTTACCAGTAATAACTTATTATCATTTGGCAGGAGGCTCTTGTCTTTTATGACCTCAGTAAAACTAGACTCCAACATGATTCTTTTACAAACAGCCCAATTATTCTGCTCAAAATCTAATAGCATCTAACACAGGACTAAGCTGTGAGCATATGGGCATACGGTGCACCAAACATTTGGAAAACTATTCATGGAGATCTCGTCCTTGAGTAGATCTCACAGAGCACTCTATCATAAAAATGAATGATTTTACTTTTCCTCAGAGTTTCTCATTTATCTAAGCAGCAGACGCTCCATCGGATTGGTCCATATCTCAAAGTGCCATCAAAGACCAAGGCCCTAGGAAGGAAATGATCTTATATTGGTTCAAAATTGAGTTACAAATCTGAATTAAAACAGCCCTTTTTGTGTTGTTTTCTTAGGCAAAAATACTGCCAAAAATACAATCCCAAAAACACTATTGAACAGACCTGTTGGGGACTGCGGACTTGTAACCACACAAAACACCCTACACTCTAAAAAAATGCTGGGTTAAATATAACCCAGCGCTGGGTTGAAAAGGGACAAACCCAGCTATTGGGTTGTTTTGACCCAACCGCTGGGTCAAAACAACCCAATAGCTAATTTGTCCCTTTTTAACCCAGCATTTTTTAGAGTGTAGCAACCATCCAGAACACCATGGCAACCTAAGTGTTCCAAAACAACATCCTAGGATCACTGAGGTGAGTTTAAGCACCACTCATGTCCAAAACATTAATCTTTTTCTATTCATGTTGGTTTCATATGATTTCAAAGTTATTCCACTACATCCCAAAAAAGTCAATTTAATGACTCTAAAAATGTCATGTGGTGTAGCCATCAAGTAAAAAGTAATAATACATATAAGTGTTCAAATGTTTTTAAATGTATTTGTCAAGATGAAAAGGGTTTTTACACAAATATCATGAATTATTAATTTGTAAATATCATTGTTTTTATCAAATGACATTTTTACAACCTTAACTAACCTCGCCTTGTCATAAAAATGTTATTCTAAGGATATTTATTTATAATATAAGACTCTTATATTAAATAAGTAATTACTTTGCATCTGATAAAAAAGCATGTTCAGTATAGGATGTGTGAATGTAATTCTGACATAGATTCTCCCATGGCCTCATGGGATAGTAAAGTGTCCATCAGAAGCATACTGTTTTTCACCTATACTATACAAATAAAGGTAGCAAAAGGGGGTTTTCGCAAAGAGGCCATATTTTTGGTTCCCCAAAGAATCTTAAAAGAACCATTTTTTTCTTAATGTGAAGAAAATACATATCATAAATGCCGATTAAGGACCTTCATTTTTAAGAGTGTAGTAGGGAAGTTTGCGATTTCGGATGCAGCCACAGTCACGAGGGTCTTTTTTATCACAATTTCCTGTTTTATGTTTCTGCACATTGGTTGCACCACATGACTGTGCTATCTGCCTCATTGGCTTTCTAACAGTCCCGCTGTGTCAAATTAGACTGTATTCACATCTGGCATCTGAGCAGAATGAATGAAGCCTTTTTTATTTGCTTTGTTTCTCTAGTTTAATAATAAATGAGTGAAAGGTCGTGCGGCGTGGAGGGATGAAACGCTTTTGTTCAGCCGTTGCTTTGCACAAATGATCTCTATCTTCACACTTCTCATACACTCCCCCTCTCCTGCTTTCTTTCTTCGCCGTGTGTGTGTGTGTGCATGTAAAGTGTTGTGACAACTCCTATCCCGGAGCGCTTAAGCGCACATTCCATTCCCCCTAGCGGTCCCCCGGGTACGGCCCACCCTTTTCAATTAGAGCCGCAGCCACAGAGAGACCAACAGGTGCAGAGGCCACAAAACAAGATGAATTACAGCCACTGAAACGCATACAATCCACCCAAACACACACACACACACACAGCCAGTTCACACACAATTTGAACATATTTGTCGTCGGTTAAGCTGCGGTTTTGAGGTTCCAGCGTTGAGATGTTACAGGCTGTTTTTCTGGCCTTCTGTTCGACATTCTTAAGACACACTGTCAGCTGGACTCGTTCTGCGTATCTCAGCATCCAGCGCATAAATATACTTGACCTCATCCTCTGTTCGAGATCCAGTCCCATAAAAGCAACATGGTTTATGTTCTGTCAACTTTTCACACACGCTGGACTGTCACATAATGAGATCAGCAGTTGATCAGTGCAATACCATCCATCTTTGACTTCTGAACAGACGTTCTCCGGTCGGAGCGGATTGGCGGTTAGTGTACAGGACTGTCCGACTGCAGAACTGACTGAAGTTGGATCAAAAGCGTTTGCCGGTTCAGAGCGAATCCAGAGGGCGGCTCACTTTTTTTGTAATAACAGGTTTCTGGCAATGACCTTTCAAGCTTCTTTTTCCTGACCATAAACTCCAGTATAGGGGCTTTAGCCTGGAGGAATCATGCCGAATACATGTTTTAAAGACCGAAACAGACTACATAACCAATTGAAGTCCTTGAACCTTGAAAAGGGTTGTATAACTAGCCTAAATGATGAACAGTCAAGTATTAAAAGAGTATGTTTATAGCAAAAGCCACACTTAACATTAATGTTATATGTATTTACATGAACTCATATTTATGTGTGGAACTGTTTCAAATGACAGATTGATATTATTAGTGGTGTGCTGGCAATTGGCACTATATGCTTTAGCTCATACTTAAGGTTAATGATTTGAACAAACCCCTAAACCTAAGTGTAAACTTCAGCATGTTCACTACAGTTTAAACATTTTAAATGGTTTTAAAGTCTCTTTTCCTCACCAGGGCTGCATTTATTCACTTAAAAATACAGTAAAAACATTATAATATTGTGAAATATTATTACAATTTAAAATAGCTGTTTTTTAGTGTAATACACTCCATTGAAAACTCCGTTACTCCAGTTTTCAGTGTCACGTGATCATTTAGAAATCAATTTGCTGCTCAAGAAACATTTTTTGTTATTATCAATATCAACCATATCAATAGCCTATATATATCAGAACTCTTTGATGAAATGTAAAGTTTAAAAGAACCGCATTTATTTGAAATAGAAATCTGTAACAAGTCTCTACGGCCACTTTTAATGCATCCTTGCTAATTCTAAGCATTTTGTTCATACTATTGCTGCCCTGAAACTTTTGAACCGTAGTGTAACTTGTTTCACAACGTTTGTGCTACAGACATGAATGATACATAAAATCATGCAGCATTTTGAATGAATGACATAAAAAAAGTGATCAATTGTTGCCTGCTGGATCATAAAAAACAAATACCCATATGAGGGATCCAAGTCATATACTGTATCTAGGGACAACAAGCAAACACATAGCAACCAGCCAAAACACGCTGGCAACCACATAACAACATGTTAAAAACAAACACCACAATACTTTACCACTCACAAAACATAAATATATAATTATAAATAGAAATATTATTATAAATATCAGTTACAAATAAATTCATATTAAGTTCACTCAAACAAATTACTATTACGAAAAAAAAATCTAAGAAGTTTACTATTATTCAGTGAATATAAGAGAGAAGTAGACTCCAAAATGACATTTTAAAAACATGCAGACCCTCAGGTCCTGTCAGAGTACAGTAACTTACATCATACAGAGTTAAATCAAATGAAAATTCCTACTAAATCCACAAAGGCTCATAGAGAATGAAGGAGCACCTTTGCTCCCATAAGAACACTCTCTTTTTTTAAATACAATTTCAGACTGTGCTTCAAAGCAACCCAGCAGATTTTTCCCACTATAAAGCTGATTTGGTGGAAAAGTTTGGCCCTCACTTGCAGATAGAAAGGGGGGAAAAGACTGTAAAATCTGTATCTGGCTGAAATATAGATATATGGAGGAGAACAGACTGTGAAGAATGTCTTTTGGTCCTCTAAGAAGTTTGCATACTATTCCACCCTAAATGTGTACTGGAAATAATTATTGTAGTGCATATTCAATACTGTTCAATTTCAGGTTGAAACCAGAATGCTAAAAGTGTAAATGCTTGTTTTGCTAATATTATTCACAACGTGCTTCGCAATTATTTCTCTCTGCATTTTCAGTTGTACAGTTGTGCCAAAGAATACAAGTCTAAAGCTGTTGAAGTGGTTTTTCAACATAAACTAGCCTAATTTAAAGGCAATGAATTAGCTAGATGCTAACGGCTACATGCGAATGCAAAAAAGGACACGTAAAAAGGGTCCGTGGTGTGATTATGCTCCTATCCTTTACCTTGACGATTATCACCACAAAGTACATACCTTGTAGTGTATCTTGCTGGGATCCAGCTGTCGTGAAGGAGCTGGCGGTTATTTTTGACTGGATTGTGCCCTCTTGTGCTCACAAACAGCATGAGCAGCATAGACCGCCATAGACAGTAAATGTGGAAATACAGCCAGAGAAAATTACTGTTTCAGTTAATTGTCCGTTTCATGCTCGGATTCTGAAAAATATCTTATTTACACAGATGTTATTTAAAGTATTATATTTATACAACAAGGCTTTCAATATTCAAGCAGAGGAGCTGGATGACTATTGACTAGATAAAATACTATACCTTAAAGTTTGGGGTCAGTAAGTCTTGGGGTCAGTCTCTCTCTCTCTCTCTCTATCTATCTATCTATCTTTTTATTTGTATTTTTTGTAAAGAAATTTATATTTTTATCCAGCACATATACATTAAATTAATCAAAAATGACAGTAAAGACATGTATAATTTTCTATTTAAACAGAAAATAAATGCTTATATATGCAATATATATGCAAATATTTTGAAGATAATAAGACATGTTTCTTGAACATCAAATCAGCATATTAGAATGATTTCTAAAGGATCACGTGACACTGGAGTAATGATGCAGAAAATTCAGCTTTGCCAGCAAAGGAATTAAATTACAATGAAAAAAAATATTCTTTTAAAATAGTAATATTTCACAATATTACTGTTTTTACAGCTTTTTCAAAAAAATAAAATGCAGCCTTTGTGAGCATAAGAGGCTTCTTTTCAAACAGATTCAAATCTTCCGACATCAAACTTTTCTATTATTCTATTACATATTACAAATTTTAATGTTAATAAAAACAATCGATACTATAATGTAACATATTATTAATACTATTTTATTATGCAAATTATATCTCATTTACACATTTCACATGTAGAAAATCACAAGTCACAGTTTAGGCACTATATAGAGACTCCAATATTTATTTGTATTATAATATATATTAAAACTGTGCATAAACTATGTTGATACACCTGCTCAACAGGCTGTCACATTAAATACTAGGCATTAAAAATGTCCTGTAAAAACATCCAACTTTTGTCAAAACTACGGGGATGACCTCTTCCTCCTCATCCCACAGAGCTTATGGAAGGGGAACACTCTGGAGTGGGCTTTCTGTGAGGCTCCTAGGGACTCTGGATCACTTTCTGGATCAGAATGTAATTGTGCTGCTTCCGGAGCAGCAACGTACACTGGGACAGTGGGAAGAGACGTTTGCGACCAATCCACAGATAATCTTGTCTTTCCCTCCTCAGAAGCATTCAGGCCTCTCAAGTGGATCACAAAATTTGACGTCTGCTGTTCCAAAGACATAAAATCCTCATGGATCTCAGAAAACTGTCACCGGAAAGAAAGGAAATGATTTACTGAACAAATCAAAGCATATAAAAAGCAAGAATATGGTCTTTCGCACTATTTTTGTCAGAATATACCCTGAAAAGTGAATCAGCAAATCATGTTTTATATATATATATATATATATATATATATATATATGCTGGGGCGTAGATTACGCGGGGGACGCGGGGTTTTTCGTATATATATATATATATCAACTGCTGGATAGATTAGAGCTGAGACTATATTATCACTCAGCTCTAATCTGCTGAATGACGTAAGGATATATTCTAAACATTAACATAATGATTTTCTGTAAAGCTGCTTTGAAACAATGTGTATTGTGAAAAAGCGCTATACAAATAAATTAGACTTGACTATCTAACAGGCTCAGGCTGTCATTATCTGTGAATGTCTTCATACCAGATCAGTGTTAGACTGTAATAACTCTTTGGTCCATGTAGAGTTGATGGTGGCACCGAAAGTCTCGTTCAGACCCTGATGGCTGCTGCGAAGTGCCTGAGGAAGAGCAGCCAGCAAAACCACATTTATTCAGGCTTTATAGCATGAAAGTTGCTGTATTGGCAATGTATTCTTGTCTTGATATGCCTATTTCTGAGAATATCCTCAGAAATATATTAAAACTAAAAAATGACTATATAATGACCTGTAAAAGGTTTATACTGGTTTCCAGCTGTGTCCGGCACTGTTGGGCTTTACTTTTGAACTGACTGAGCTCACTGAACAGGCTCTAAAACACAAACACATTCACATATATCAGTAAACATGCATCACAGAGGGCCACTGTAAGATTGTATATGGTAAGTAGTGTATCACCTCAGTGTCTGTGAGGACGGCGTGAGGGTCGTGTGCTTCCTGTGTGCTGTCAGGCCTCAGAGTCACTCGTGTGTGTAACTCCTCCAGCAGAGCCCAGCGCTTCTGTAACCCGCTCTGAACCGCACACACACTCGCGTCACACTCACGCTGAACCTGCAGCAGAGAGCGCAGACCGCTCACCCTGAGAGACACAGAACAGCAGCATTATAAACCGTTAGAAAACACAAACACAATAATAAAAAGAATACACCAAGGATTAATATCAGCTCAGAACAGACAGCCAACTAGAAAAGATTACAAAAAAAAGTGCTGCATGAAAACTGACTAGATTACATTTGGAGTTTATATATATATATATATATATAAAGCCTTCAATCAGCAAGGATGCATCAAATCGATCAAACGTGACAGTAAAGACATTTATAATGTTCCCAAAAAAATCTAACATATTTCAAATAAATGTTGTTCTTTTGAATTTTCTATTAAAGGCACAATATGTAATTTTCGCCGCTGGAGGGCGCGTATTCAAAATAAACAAATAGACAAAGGTGTAGTTTGATGACGCAGTGACTGAGTGTGGAATCATGGGAGTTGTGGTCTTCATCCCCACAGCCGACGCAATC